TGCCCACTTAAATCAATTGAAAAAAAAAACATGAGAAAATCTCTATGCTCTCTTCTCTTGTCTCTTTTTGTTTGTTTAGTTTAACCTTTATGTTTCTTGTTTGTTGTTATTGTACAACTTTCTATTGTTGTGTTGTTATTATTATTGAAAAATTACCATGATTTGTTGCTTTGTATACATTAGCCTATCATATGGTATTTTAGTATCCTCATTTGACTATTGAATTTGTGCAATAGTTAGTTATTTTTACTTTATGCACTTTTAGTCAATTTTACAGTTAAAAGTATATTTTTTTAATTAAGAAGATATATGTAGTTCCTATCGAAACAATGATGAATTTTACAATATAAAATTTATATAAAGTATTTTGGGATAAATGTGCAAAGCACGTTCCCAGATCTAGTAATATAAAAACATTGTTGCATTTCAAATAAAACTAGCACGGTATAAATTTTATTTTATTTTTAAAAAAAAGAGAACCTAATTAATTTTTTTAACAAATGAAACAGTAAGATTTTATAGAGTATAGTAACAAATTATGATAAAAGGAAATAAATATGTGTAAATTTCCTATATGACATATATTATAGTACTATTTTCAGGCTATAGCAGTAGATTTAGATTTTCAAGCTATAACATTAAAAATTTCAGGTTAAAACAAATTCACAAATAAAAGAAATGTTTTTATTAATTCGAAAAAAGTTTTTTTTTAAAAAAGAAAAGATAAACGAAAATTTAAAAAAAAACGGAATTAGAGATAATAAAGTAAAAAACTAAAAGTGTGGCCTGTAATTTAATTTGAATTTATTGTAGATAATTAATGATTAGCATGAAATAAAAGATTCAAACAAATTAACAATATTTTTTATCCTTAATTCACTCAAAATCAGTTAAGATAAACTATAAAATCAGATCATATCATTTTTTTTGTAGATAATTAATAAATAACACGAATTAAAGGATTTAAACTTATTAAGATTATTTAGTATCCTTAATTCACTCAAATCAGTTAAAATCAAATAAAAATTCAGATTTTATCTTCTTCTTTTTTCAACGTTTCTCTCTCTTCAATTTGCAACAAAAAAAATTCAACGTTTCTCTCTTCAATTTCAACAAAAAAATCCCGCATTCGAGTAATTGAAGTTTTTTTTCATCTTTGAAAATTCTTGATTTTGTTGTGATGGACAACTACGTCAGTTTTAATCAAACATGGTAAAAGATGGGATCTTTCGGGTTAGTATTTATTATTGTTTAACGTTTGTTTTAGAATGATAGTGAAATGAAACAAAAATGATCAAACTGTTGATTAATTGAAGGTGGAGTCATATTTTGTTAACTGTTGATATCATATTATGTTAGTTGTTGTGAAATGTAAAAAATTTAATGTTTTTTTTGTTTATTTGTTTATTTTGTATACGGTTGTTGTTTTGTGAAATTATAAATTTAATGTGATTTTATGAATAAATTTGATAGAATAAATTAATTGAAACTTGTATGAAAGTGTGCTAATTATTCTGTAAAAATAATTTAATTATAATGTTGACGAATTTATGAAAATTTATTTTATTTGATAATGAATTTGATAGTATAAGTCGAATGAATTATGTATGAAAAGTGTGTTAAGAAATATGTAAAAAAAAAAATTGGAATTCTTGACGAAGTGTATTACAAGTGTTTTAAATTGGTATTAAATGTGAAATTGTTGAGTTTATATTAGTTTTGTTATTTCTGTATAAAGTTGGTGACAATAATTAATTATTTGGGACGAGAAATGTATATAGTTTGAATGAATAATCGTTTTGTATGAAAATGTATAAATTTGGTATGAATGATGATTGTTGTATGAAATGTGTATTAAGTGAGTATTAAATGTGAAATATTATGTTTTGTATGAAATTTATTTTGTAATGTACCGTTTGAATGATATTTGTATGAAAAAATAATGACGAGTGTGTATAATTTTGTTGTTATTATAATGATTTTTATGGATGAAATTTGTATTGTCTTTGGAATGAAAAGTTAATATTATTTAACATATTTCTAATTGATTTGTATAATGTTAGACCAATTGTTTTTTTTTTTTAATGAAACAGAGAATTATGTTGATTTTCAAATGAAATGAATTATATATGAAAGAGGGTTGCTGATGTGAAATTCAAAAGGTTCAAAGTTACTTGCAGTAGATGTTGTCAAGTTGGCCACAACATGAAGCATGTTCAAATTATCCTGTGCAAAACTAATGACTGTTTATTTGTTTAGACTATATATAATTTTTATTTTATTTTGTCGTTTAGATTAATGTTTTGTTTTGATATGAAACATAATTGATTTGAAGTGCATTATAAACTTAGTGTTTAATATACCATTCATTCTTTATACACTGTTCATTCTACATTTGTTTTTTTTTTGTTTTTTTCTTTTTGATTTCAGTAACAAAATCAAAATCGAAATCAGAAGGGGTTTCAACAAATTTCCCCTTCCTCTTCTTCCCCTTTTGATTTGTAGGGGTGACCTTTTTTTTCTTCATTCTTTCTCTCTTTGTCGCTCCTTCAACTTAGATGAACCATCCGTTGTCGGATTTTGAATATTCGCCAGATTTTCAACAATTTTAGGTGGGGGAGGGGGGGGAGGGGAGTTTGAGTTAATATATTAAAATTTGAAACATGAACATCATCATTAGATGTTCCTTCACCCAATCTAGGATTCTTTTGAGGCGTTTCAATGGGTTTCTTAGACATAATTTTGTTGGAAAAAAAATTGGACGAAAGATTGAATGTTGGTGTAGTTGGCTGGTGAGAAAATGAAAGAGAAGAAGGTGAAAGTAGGGTGATAGCGTGTATAGTTGGATATGTGGGAAGGAAGGGTGGTGGGATTGACTAATGGGAGGTTATGAGTATAACATTAAATAAGAAAGTGTAATCAATGTAAAATCCTTATAATTGTGTAAGAGATAATTATGAGGCATTCTTTATTTAAATAATTTAATAATAATAAAAAATTATAAAAAATTACTTATTTAATAAAGTAAAATTTAATGAATTTATAAATAATTAGTGATATGTTATAATCCGTAATTAAACTGTTATAAGCAAGAATTTTTTAAAAGTAAATTTAAAACCTGTAATATTGACTCTTAAATGTGTATATGGGGTGATTTTTATAATAAATATTTTAAGTATAAATTATAGGAACCACATATTATAAGTACTAAATAACATCATATCCCTTCTAGTTTTTTATTTACCAAAAATTCCTTAAAAATGATGTTTGCGGGATACATAGCGTTGTGCACTGGATACATTAGGTTTGATACATTCCACATAGCGGGATACATAGCGTTGTGTACGGGATACATGCGGGATACATAGCGTTGTGCACGAGATACATAGCGTTTGATACATTCCACATAGCATGATACATAGCGTTGTGCACGGGATACATAGGTAAAATAAGGGATTTTTGAAATTTTTGAAATAAGTAAGGATAAATAGATATTAAGGTAAGTAAAGGAGTGTAGTTAAATAATTTGTCCATATTTTAATAATACAACAACATAACTAGAGTTGTCAAAATGGGCTTGGCCCGCTAGGCCGGCCCAATCCAACCTTTGAATTAGATGGGGTTGGGCTCAATTTTTTCAGCCCATTTAGGAACGAGGCTTTTTAGTCCAGCCTCATTTGGCCGCTGGCCTTGTAGGCCCAACCCGCAAGCCTCAGAGGCCAGCCCACGAGCTGTGAATTTAAAAAATATTTATTATATATATTTTAAGTAGTGTTTTACTTGTTAAGATTTTGTCAATAAATAATTTTAAAATGCCAATATAAAATCAAGACTATATTTTTTACATATCTTTTACATTTTAGGATCATTAGCACACTAAATTTTCTTATTAGCCCAAGTTCATTACTCCATTATAACTAAGAATCTTTGACCTCTTTTACTTTTATTTTTATGCCTAATTTTTCACTTCTCCTTTATTGTCTTGTTTTTGAAAATAGTGATCATGTAATATTTTTTGCTCGAATGAAACTTATGAATGTTGTATCTTGGCTATTATGTATTTTTTTTTTGTAAATATTCACTGAAATATGTGTAATTCATCAACGTTCGTATTCTTTCTAACAAAAAAATGTTATCCATTTTTTGATTGAAGGGTCAACCCGTCCCAGCCCGTGACCCGTTTAGAGCTGGGTTGGGCTGCTATTTTATAGGCCCTTCAATTAAAAAGGTCAGCCCGTCCCAACCCATTTAACTCTCTAGCCCGTTAGAATTGGGTTGGGCCAGCCCATTTTGACAGCTCTAAACATAACTGTTATAAAGCTTCCTTCACCCTCTCTTTCATGTTCTATCGTTTATGCAACCATCATACCAAAATGAGCCAATTAGAGGAATATCATACCAACATGTCAACATCTTGAAACCGAACCCCTATTTAATCATAGATTTTGAAAGTAGTTTTTAGAAATATAGTCCATACCAAATTTTTGGGTGAAATTTTGCTTCCACTCCCAAAACTTCGAATGGCATGTCCAACCACAACATCAAGGTTCAAAAAAATCATTTTTTTCAAGCTTCAACTAAATCTACGATCAAATGCTAGCTGAATAGACAGATAATAATTTTTAAAAAGTCAGATGTCTACTAAGGAAAAAAAGTCTAACATGACAACTGATTAAGCAAAATGTCAATATAATTGCAACTACAGCAAAAAAAATAAAAACATGTAGACTGTCTCTCAGTAAGTAATCTCAAGATAGGCCGCACATCTACCAGCAACACATTTATGAGTTTTCCATCCTAAACTATATAGGATGCAAGAAAAAAGAAATATTGTTATGATCAAACTAAACAGTACTTGCTATTGCAGTATTGTAAAAAAAAAAAAACACTAAAGCCAAAGTTTTTGTTTTTTGTTTTGTTTTGTTTTGTTTTCACTCTCCAGTCTCCCCCGCCTCTTTCTACTTTTGAAGATACATGTATCCGATGACTAGCCAGTCTCCCCCGCCTCTTTCTACTTTTGAAGATACATGTATCCGATGACTAGAAGTACCAGAATCGCGAGTGCAGCAGGAGCAACCGCCCATAGCCAGTAGTTTGTTGCTTTCTTGCGCTTTAGCATAGATTTGGGAAGCTCGGAGCCTCTTGCGCGTGTTGCTCTGTGCCTGATGGTGTTCTCTTTCCGTGCCTTGACCTTGGGTGCAACAGTTGCTTCAACAGTCTCCTCTGCATTTTCTTCCTCAGCAATTTCCTCAGGTGTTTCAGTTGGTTCCTCGGTTGGTTCCTGACCAGCAGCAGAAGATCCACCCTTCTTCTTTGCTTTCTTCTCACGTTCCTGAAAGGGATCAAAGTAATGAGATAAGTCTATGGTTAATCTGAAACGTTTACAACCTAAAACTACAAGGAAATGGTAAGCTAAGTTGCAGGGACTCTTCACTTTCGATGCTGCACCCGTTGGATGCGTTTGACATTTTTGAAGAGTCCAAGCAACATAGATGGTATGACTATAAAGAATCAGAGAGAGAATTACCTTGAGCTTCTTTTCAGCTTCTAGCTGAGCTTTCTTTGCAGCTTTTGCAGCTGCTTTCTCGGCCAACTTACGCTTCCTCTCCATAGCCTGTTTATTTTTTGCTATCTCCTCCTCTTTCTTCATTTCCTTCAGTGTAGCCTCATCAACTTCGGTTTTCTTGGGCTTAATATCCTTGGGTAGGTCCAAACCATAGATTTCCTCGTCATCAACAACGACAGCTTTTTTCTCTGTGCTTTTTGTGTTTTTACCATGAGCATCATTCAGCTGCTTGCCACTCTTCTCTTGCTGTTCTTTCTGAATCGGAGCAGCATCAACGGGTGCATGATCTTCCTTAACGGGTTTTGCATTAGCTCTTGCTGGAACTTCAGCACGGGAGACAGTAGGTGCTTCTGGTAACACCAGTGGCTTTTCACCAGGATTCCTCATCCTGCCGTCCCTGCTCAGCTGCCTAATATCAAGCGACTGCAAGAGTCTCCTCTCATAGTCATCTCTAAAAGACTTACTACCACACCAAAGAGAAATGAACTTGTCGACCTAGTGAAAGAAAAAAAGATGATTGTCAATACTAAACACATAAATATAACAACTACCGGTGAAAAATACATCATACCTCTGTAACTGAGAGCTCTTTAAGGGCTCCAACATCCTTTTGATCAGCAAGTTGTTTCACTTTGTGCAACACGTTGGAGTTTTGGTAGAAAGAAGAATTCTGAAAATTGCAGGAAATAGGTTATAAAGACTACATAAGTTTAGAGACTATTTCTCTTGACGCTTGCAGTAATCAAAAAAACATTTCAATTTTTTTAAAGATAACAACGCCCGTGAAAGATTTCAGAGTGTTGACATAAACAAATCAAATCAACTGGCTTCTCCCTTGAGATGTAAAATTTCCTACTCTTTTCTATTCCTTTTTAGGAAGAGCAACCTTCCTTACCTCTCAGCTGCCATCCTTTTAACTGTTTTTTTTCTTTTGGGTGTGTGTGTGTGTCTCTAGAAGCTGTTACCAAGGACGGTTGCGGTAGTCAGTTAAATATACACGAAAGGCACTAGCAAGTTAGAAATCCTCATATATGAGTAAAACCAGAAGTCATCATTTCTATAAAATTCCAGGCAACCATCATGTCACTTACCAGCGCCCGTGAAGCGTGTATCTACCAGTAATGAAATGTTTCTACCTGCTATGATTTCCTAACAAAAAATAGTGTAGACGACGGAGAAATTTTTCTGATCACTCATAAAATTCCTACACATAAGGCAACTACAAAAATACAGGGATAAACACAGGACAACGCAACACAACAAAAACATGTAATCAAACATGGAAACAGATAGATCAAATAGACCATAGATGGGTAGCATATGACATTAAAACAGTAACAAGTAGAAGCACAGTAATTGAAGCATCTCGTATGTAATTGATTGTTGACGATTCACCGAAGGTAAACAATGGGATTGAATCTTTTTTTTGTTTTAATCGGATTGAATTTGAGCATAACATATACCATAAACCCTTTTTTTAACCAAAATAGTAAGACATTTCAATCAACAAGGAAGCAGAGCAGCATACCCCTTCTTCACGCAGTTTTCTCAATTCCAGAATATGTTCATAAGTCTTGTCCCTCTTCTCCACAACGCCCTTCAATTCCTCATCCAATATGCCGATCTGTTTGTTTATGGCATCAATCTGATCATCTATTATCTTAAGCCTGCCCTTAACTTCCTGTTGCCCCTTACGAACTCCATCCAAGCCAACATTCATAAGCTACAACACCAGTGGCAGGTTAGCAGTTATCATATGCAGATTACAGCAAACTAACATTATAAGATTCAGCCACGAAACCTAAATTTTTGCATCTGTATAAGAGAAACATAACATAAAGACCTTACTTTGACCTGGTTCTGGATTGATTCTTTTTCACCCATCGTCTCATGAATTTGTGCCCTTGCAGCAGCAACCTTTTTAACATCTTCCCTTGTTCCTTCAAGTTGTTTGATTTCCCGAAGAATTTGCTTCTCTTCGTTCAGAGGAATGCTTTCATGCTGAATGCGGTATTGCAGACCCTTAATCTACAAAGTTGCCAGAATGAAAATGTCATATTATCATTGTTTGTGTACAATATGAAATTGAGGAATGAACGCAAATAATGACAAAACAAACCTATTAAATAAAGTTATAAATGAGTGCTTACAAGATGATTGAGCTCCTCCTCAGATGAACACACTGTAGGACCCCTCTCTCGGCCTGCATTCCTAGAACCACGGAGCTGGCCCAGGGCCTCATGCAGAGGTACCATTTCCTTTATCTTACCATCAATAGCACTCCAAAATTCCTTATTCTCAGCACTGAGGGCTTTCCTTTGTTCAATGAAAATTGATTTTTCAGCCTGAAAATACTCAAAGACCATTTAATTATTGCCGCCATACTCCCACAAGGCCAGAAATTGGAAAAAAATTGGCAACTAACAAAATGGGTCATGCAATTGGCAATATCAACTTACTAAAGCTTGCTGAATTTGCAGAAATTAGTTAAAACTGTAGGATAACAAGACCTTTCATTTTAACTTTATAATACTTCCAGTTCAACACAGCAAAACATAGTAAAAATCTGATTTTAGGATCATGTCATAAACAACTCCACGATTTTGACAATACAAGAGAGATACCAAGTAATATGCTCTTGAAATGTACAGCCAAAGGAAGATTCACCAAAAAACTTACCCTTTTGGCCTTCAATTTTTCAATGATCTGAGATCTAGCTTGGTTCTTTTTCTGTAGCTCTTTTTCAGCCAGTTCAATTCTGGCCTTCAGTTTTGGGTCGTCAAATCTCCGAAATTTAACAGTATAGAACGAATGGATCTGCTGAGGTTCAGGCCAATCCTCAACCGCATCCTTTGGAACATTGCTCACAGGAATTCTGCTTACTTCCTCCTTCTTAGGTTCTTCAGTCCCATGAGAGCCGAATTTTATTGGCTCGGTAATCCCTGAAACATGATTCGGCATTCCATTTTCTTTCAGAAGATTGATCTGTTCACTTCCAGCTTCAACTGGAACATGAACTAACTTAGCTTCCACCTCTACACCCATATTTCAATGAAATACAAACCGAGAAGTGCCTGATCCTGAAGCAAAGATTGAATACATTAGCAAATTATGTTCAAACTACTACATAAGTGAGAAAGATGCATCAAGAAGACACACGATAATTGATGACAGAAAGAATAACACGATATGGAAGACTTTTAAGTTATACGGCACAGACCCCAAGGTTATCAAAATAATAAATTGGGCGCAAGATGGACTAAACTTTTAAACCATTGGTGCAGAATGATTCATCCCAGGGAATCCTAATAATCCATGATCAAGCTATGAAGCAGTATAAAAATAGATCTTTGATTTAGAGAGCAGCTACTCATTCGAGACTCAATATACCAGAGGTCAGAGAGATCAATAAACAACAAAAAATTTCAGAGTCATCATCTCAGAAGCTGAGCACAGAAAAAAAGCGATCCCATATACATTAACAGCAAAGAAAAGAAGGAAATTGGATAAGGAAAAACCCACAAACCTTAAAGGACAAGAGAAAGCAGCATACAAACTAATCCAGATTCGAAATCAAAAGCAACTATTAGATCTTTAACAAAGATAAACTGAATCCACTAGAAACCAAATATCAACTGTGCACTGATGCAAACAAAGCAAAAACAAACTGAAAAATCAGCTCAAATCACCAAGTACAATCAGTACACATATAGCTAGAGCACAAAAAAGGATCAGATTTTTGCATCAAGAACGGCAAAATTTGAGCTACCCTCCTCCCAAAAAACAAAACCCATATCATTAATACTAAAATTAAAGACAAGGAAACAAACCCCATCGGATAGAAAAAATGAATCCGATAGAAACCAAATCATACTTGCATTGATGCAAAACAAAGCAAAAACAAACTGAAAAATCAGCTCAAATCCCCAATTACAATCAGTACACATATAGCTAGAGCACAAAAAAAGATCAGATTTTTGCATAAAGAAATGCTAAATTTAAGCAACCCTCCTCCTAAAACACAAAACCCACATCATCAATACCAAAACTAAAGAACCAAGTACAATCAGTAGACATACCACAAAAAAGATCAGATTTTAACATCAAGACCAGCTATATCTAAGCAACCCTCCTCCTAAAACACAAAACCCACATCACTAACACCAAAATTAAAGACCCAAGTACAATCAGTAGACATACAGCAGAAACACAAAAAATATCAAATTTTTACATCAAGAACAGCTAAATTTAGCAACCCTCATCCTAAAACACAAAACCCACATCATAAATACTGAAATTAAACACAAGGAAACAAAAACTACCTAAAAAGGATCAAGATCAGTACAGATCAAAAAGAAACCCCCAAAAAAATAAACAGTTAAACTAAGAAGAAACAGTGAAGAAACAAATCAAAACTGAAAATTGGTGAAGACTTACTGAGTATAGCAAAAACAAAATGCAAAGATTTAGAGAAAAGACTGTTACCCCTCGCTCTATTATACCCTTTTTGACAAAAATTAGGGAGGGCCGTTCAAAAGAGAGATTTTTTGAGAGAAGAAACTAGTCAGACCCCTCTTCAGATCTCTTCTATTTTTTCTCTCTCTCTGCTAGTATTAATTCTTGAAAATAATATTGATTTTTTTATTTTTTTATTTTTTTGCAATAAAGAGTGGGAAGTAGGTGGGGTAGTGAGGAGATTATGGTATTTTTATAAATATAAAAAAAAAAACTGTTACAAATAAGCAAAAAGATTAGACCTATAAATATTTATTGACTGTTTTAATTATGAAACAGTAAAGAAAGGGATGTGTGATATTTTTGTCCATTTTTAGCTTATTTTTTCCTTTTTAGCTATTGTGTTTTTTGTGTTAGTAACTATATCAAATCATGTGCAACATATATAGAATTTATTTGTTAAGAGTTTGTTTGGATTAGATTAAGAAAATTTAAAAATAATTGATAAGCATTGAGTGTTTAATAACATTTTAAGGGCTAATGTTAATATAATTAAATTTCTTTAAATAAATAGATCTTAAGTTTAATTTAAATTTAAAAGCCAACTTAGAAAGTGAAAATTGTTCAAACAATATAAATAGACCACTCATTTTTGCTATAGAGAGATTGTTATTGGAAGTAAAAAAAAAATTATGATTATTTTAGTTGACATATTTTTAATTAGAAATAAATGTCCTAAAATAATAATTATTTTAAAAATTAAGATATAATTAATTATTAACTTTTACCTTTATTCTCACTCAATATATGTTAGAGAGATATTAATGTAGTAAAAAGATGATAATTTTAAAATGAAATTCAATAATAAATAACAAGAATGATAGTTGTTTCTTTCTTTTGTTGTCGTTATTTTTCTTTCAGTGTTTTGATTACATTTCTTTTGAGCCTATTGTCTTCATAGTATAGTCTCTCTACTTTAATAGGGGTAAAATCAATGTATAGTATATCCTTTTCAAACTTCATATATAAAATTATACTGTACATATCATTGTTGTTATCGATTAAATTATATTTTTTAACTTGTTTTCTTAAAAAATATGTAAAAGAAAAACATGACAAGTAAAATGGATCGAAGGAGTAATACTACAGGTGTAGAGTAAAATTCCTATAAATACTTTCAATCTCAATAGTAGTAAGAAAATATCTCCCACTACTCTAGTTTAGAAGTTTAATAAAAACAACTTATAGGCCTATAAATTGAGGTAATTTTGGAAAAATAATTTTGGTTTTTGATGTTGTTTAGAGGTAAGTTTTGAGAATTAAACAACACTTGTGTGGTGTGTGAAAGAATTGTACCAAACATTTGCAAATGTTTTGTAAAGCACTAATAAAGGGTATGTACTCTTATTTTTTTTTAAAGTGTTAAATTAAATGAATGTAAAAAAATATTAATACTGTAAATCCTAATGCATGTATATAAAGCAAATACGAAAAAAAATTATGAGAACAATAGAAATAAATCCTAAATTATTCAGATTTTTCATTTCAACTTTGAATTAACTTTTAATAATGTTATGTTTGTAAAGGTTCAAAATTTTCATTTTGAAGTAACATTTGATTTGTCTTTTACAACATTTGTATTTATGCTTAGATTTTTTACTACTAATAAAGTACAATATTAATGCACCATCAATAGAGATGGTGTAGCAGATAAGGTTGCTTCTTTCTTAATTAAAATTCTCAGGTTTGAATCATGAGTATGAAAATCTTTAATAGTGAGCACTTCCCTTCAAATAAAATCTTATACAATGTAAATCCAAACAAATCAAGCTATGATATAGTATCGAACATCGAGCGATAAACAAAACAAAAGATATTAGTGCCGTTTGGACAATGCCATTTTGAGATATTCAGTGGGTACTCACGAGACAACCAAAACAATATTTTTCTTCTTTCTTCTTTGGTTTTATTATCTGTTTTTATTATTTTTTTGAGTTTGATGTGTGTATTTCATAACCAAAAAATTCAACACGTGTTTTGGTGCTTTTGTTTTAAAGGTTTTTAACTTTTACTACTTACCTACCCAAACGTCATATCTTCGTCGATGATTACGAGAAACAAAGCCATCTACATCAAATGACCAACATTACCCTTCAAGTACTTTCACAATATGGGGGGATGGAGGGGTAGTTTGGTAAAGTGTATGAAAGTATTATTAAATCGAAAACGAGTACATCGGGAATATAAGATGAAGGATTAGTACCCCACTCCATCAACCTAGACAGAAACATATGCTTTAGCAAGACAATAAGCAACCTGATTCGCTGATTTCTTAACGATCAACAAAGAGAGAAAAGGTAAATAAATTATATATTAGAAATGTTGAGAGATTAGTTTTTCGGGATGACTAAGTTAGTTAGGAAGTGGTCTACATGAGATCGATTCCCCCTTAATATTTTTTTAGTCGAATATGTCGTATAGCACTTACCTAGTATAATTTACATCCTCTATGTGGTTTGCAAGCTATTACACAATGCACATAAAGTGCTCACCTACAGAGCGATCATCCGAAGAACATAGTTTATAGCAATTATGGATTATTCTAAAATTTCAAAAAATATTGAAAGATTACTTTTTATCAATTGTTTTGATTTGTATTGTTGTAGTATCAAGTTAATTGGACGTATTAGAATTGGAAGTGACTTAGTATTGTTAATTGATGATGTATTAGATATAGGACTAGTATTGATTGAAGTATATGATTAATACATATATTAGTTATATATAGGCTATAAACGCTATCGATCAAAAAACAAAATATATCATGTATATTTTTTTTAATATTTTCTATCAAACGGCATTTCTAATTCTAGTATAGAAACATGTTTACTCTATAAATATTTTTTATATAAATTCTGATTAATTGGAGTATCGAACATCAAATAAGAAACCGTTACGATGAAAAAGTAAGGGAGAATAGAAATATGACAAATATTGTTATAGCTTTATAGGTAGACAGGATTAGGAAGCAACAACCAGATAAGAAATGGCCCATTGGATCTGAGATAATACCAATCTAGCCTACATTCCAAAAACAATTGATATTTTTTAATAATCATTTCGTATTCAATATTTATCGATCTTTAAATTTACATAAATATTAAAATAGGAGAATGATTCTTATCAAGACTACTAATTACTCAAAATTCGAATTTGATAAGTGGATGAATTTCATGCACAACTAATTTTGATAACAAAAAATAAAATAAAAAATCTGATAAAATATTTTATTTATAAACTCAAATAATTCTCCACCATAAAAAATACTTATCAACACTTCAATTTATAATAATGTAAAACATTATTTAACTCAAACTAAAAAATTATTTTTATATTATTCAAATTAAACATATTGATTAGACATAAATTAAATAAATATCAAATATTAAATTAAGCATCATATGTGATAAAGGCAAGGGCTAAAGCAGATTAATTACCCTAAAAAAAATTACTCATTTATGATCAATATTTATATATTTATATAGTTGACTCGAAATAAATTTATATTAACATTATATTTTTTAATATGATGGGCTTGTTTCTCACTGGCCATGTGATATTGCATCTGTAATCATTAATAATCCATATTCAGATGCCTATCAGATTTAATTAGTTAGACTCGGGTTATTTTTATTAAGATTAAAATGTTTAAATTTTATAATGTGAATCTAATTACTAATTAAAGATACACTAACTATGTATAAAGTATGTATATTATTTATATATTACAATATAAAAAAAATTGCTGTTTATTATTTTGATGAGTGGTTATATAGTGTAAAGATTTCAAAAAAAATGTTATTTTTTCATTTCATTTTGTTTGTCTTACTTTCTTTATTAGTCTGCTAAAAAAAATAAGTCTCTTTCGTTTTTTTGGCAATTCTTTATTCTGTATGACATGTTTAAACCATGAGATTAATGCGTATTTTGGTACATTCTACATACCTTCAGTTTATGACCACACTACTTAAAAATCTTCTTTATTTTTTTAAACTTCGTATCAAGTCAAAAACAAACAAACAAATTGAAACGGAGAAGGTATTTCAAAGTTAATGGAGATGGAATATACATGGGCTTGGTCCATTATCACAAGAAGCCCGTAGTGGTTATTGGGATTCTTCATTTATGGGCCTAGCCTTCAAGGAATTGGTCGAAGCTGAAAGCCCAAAATAAACGGGCTTCGAGGAGTTTCATCCGAGCTTCTTTCACCTTGTTTTTTCAAACCTATTTCGAATTGGTTTTTCTTGAGTCTCTATCTATCAAAAATGATCTCCGTACCTAACAAAATAGAAGTAAAGTTTGCGTACATTCTATCTTATTCAGACCCCTCTTATGGGATTACACCGATATATTGTTATTGTTGTTTCAAGGGATTCAATCCAAAGTGTTGTATATTCAATAGTTTTAAAAAGTCTTTCCATTTCACATAGGAGACGTTCGGTTTGTGAGGTATAAAGTATAATAATCTCATAATGTAGAATTATTTTATCCTGTTGAAGGTATTATGTAGTCCTGGATTTATTTATCCCACCATTTATACTATAGTGATGAGATAAGTTATCATATATACATAGTAAGATAACTTATTTCCAACCAAATGATCCTTTATGTAATTGCATTTATCTGGGCTCTGGGCTTTCAATACCCAATAATAGCACTAAATGGGCTTCAATTTGGTCGCCCAAACAGCTTAGCTTTTCAGTTTTCTACTTCGAGCCCACAATGAAAATACTTCTTTAGTTTGTTTTTATTTGTCCATTTCAAACTTTGCACGTCTTTGATCTTGAAAAATGATTTAAGGAATAAGTAGTTAGACTTGAAAAATGATTTGAAAAATAAGCAGTTAACGTTGATGGTATAATTAGTGGAGGAGCCACCTTACATGAACCCCCTTCGGCGGAAAATTATATGATTTATACATGGTTAAAATAAATTTTTAGGTATATATAGTAGATGTCGAACCCCATTCGACTACTTTGTGTATTTATTTTTTCAGATTTTGAACCCCCTTATTAAAAATCTTGGCTCCGCCACTAGATATAATGGAAAAAATAATCATCTATTCTTGATATACTTAAAGATTTAAATGACCAGTAAAAA